CCGCCAATCTAGTTGATATTTCCGCAACTTTACGGGCAGTGTGCAGAGGCTTAAGGACAATCCGCGACCGCTCCTCCTGCGAAGGGTTCGTTCAGGTAGGGAACATATACAGGCAAAACACGCCGAGGGCTGGCTCACTCCACACACCCGACATCGCTTTGCCAAACTGCAACGATATCAACAGCACGTTTTGCTCTGCCGGAGCTTATCTCACATCAAGAGACATCCTTGTACGCCCTGAGAGATCAAGTAGCGCCTGGGCAAGCCGAGACCTTCAACTCATCGAGGTAAGTGACTCGGAACAACCGAATATGATATCACTGTTCACAGAACCGAACCATCCGTGGAGAATTGTTGATCAAACCCGCCCACATGGGAAGTTTCACAGAAAAACTAAACGCTTGCCACAGCAAAGTATAAGGTTAGCGGGAAAGTTCTGTCACATTTTTCAAATTAGGTTTTCTTTCTATAGAGAAGTGTGTAAGACCAGAATTGTACAGCAGTGTTACTGTCTGGTTGTTGTCAGTTCTTGAGCACCTCATGGATGCCATCACTTCACAATCCAGGGAGGCGCGACGCAAAGTAGGACACCATCTCAATCTTGACTTGAACTCGGGTTATCGAGGTTTTCTTATCCACATAACGATTGATTACGGGAAGCGACTCGCAATTAGAAGGAACAATCTCTGTGCTACACAAATACAAGGGGAGAGCGATAGCTCCATTGCATGAGGTACGCCTCGAACTTCTCTGGACGGAGTGCGCTGCACTATGGGCGAGACAATTCTTCCCTCTGACGATGGTACGCTTTATTCTCGTAACTGCTTTGCGTACGCATTGACCGAAGCTTCAACCGAAGACCTTACTTCATCCACACTTCCACGACCCGCAGCTCCCTCAATCTGAGTTCACAGGTAACCCAAACCTCACTTTGTCGTCAAAACTGTTGGCTCCCGCTTTGGAGCATTAGCGTCGTGGAAGGTTGTCCGATAATGAGCAAAAAATGAGGATTTTGCATAGCTCTCCGGACCCCCTAAACAATTCATCATACAAAGACATTTGTAGAAAACTCGATAAACATGTGAAACGTTTCATGGACAACAAGGTTAGGCGCCTTTCATCGGCCAATAATATTCGCAATCTTGCTCTGTTTGTAAAGAAATATACGAAAAACATCGGTATGAACCCGTGATTGTTGACGAGAAAGGTAATAAATGCTCTGATGGTGCTTCCAAAGCGGAAGCTTTCGCTTCTTACTTTTCCAGTGTTTTCAAATCGAAGAGGGACCATGGAACTGTACCCCCTTTCAACTCTCTGGATTCTATTCCTCTGTTATCCATTACTCCATACATGGTCGGTAAACACTTAAAAGCCCTCAAGCCATCCCTATCTGCTACTTCTGATGACATTCCCCAATACTTCTTCAAGTGTTTTTGGAATCTCCTCGCAGTTCCTCTATGCCATATCTTTAACATTTCTCTGTTACTCGGTCAAGTCCCTCTAGTTTTGAAGATGGCTTTTGTCACGCCCTTGCCCAAGACCAAAGATGCCAAGAAGGTATCTGATTTCCGCCCAATAAGCCTTCTTCCCACTCCTGGTAAGGTTCTCGAAAAATTACTCAAGGACCATTTGCTCTCATGATTATTAACAAAAAAATATATCCCACTTGAACAGCACGGCTTCGTACCTGGTTCCTCCACTTGTAACAACTACTGGATTGTACTTATGAATGGACTTCGGCTCTTACTTCCGGATGCGATGTAGATGTCGTCTACTTTAATCTCAGCAAGGCCTTCGATTCGGTTTGCTACTCTAGTCTTCTATCAAGGCTTCACAGCATTGGTGTTAGAGGACCTCTTTTGGAGTGGTTTAAATCCTATTTAGATGGAAGAAAAATGGTTGTTCGAGTGTCAACCACTTTTCTCTTGGTAGAGACTGTACCTCGGGGGTACCTCAAGGGGGGATCCTCTCCCCACTTCTCTTCTTGATTTATACAAATGATATTCCGTCGCATCTCAAAACTCATCCCAACATAGGAATAGCTGCATTCGCAGATGACATCAAAATATATGCTACCTACAGTTCTTATAATAAAAGAGAGGTTCAAGAAGCTTTGACCACATTAGTAAAAAAATGATAGAATGGTCAAATGATTGGGATCTTGCTCTAAATTTCTCCAAATGTAACCATTTCTCACTTTCGACTGATTCACTTTCTGTCCAATGCTCCCCTTCAGATCAGATGTCATCTTGTGATCGTGTCAGAGACCTGGGTATTATTCTGGCTAAAAACTTGAAATGGAATGCCCAAATCGACAATATCTACAACAAAACTATGGGGGTAATTCACTCCTTTTTAGAAACATTTATTGCACTGATATTCTGATTTGGATCCTACTTTACAGAACTTTTGTATCACCTTTTCTAGAATACTGCTGTGCAGTGTGGAACCCTTTCCCTCGCATAATTGAGTGACCTGAGGTTAGAAGGTGAATGATCGTGTAGTCCCTGGATTTCTGTAAATTAGCACGTCGTTCTTCCTTCTTTTACTTACCTGTCTCTCGCCAATGTATTGTTGTACATCTTGGTGCGCTTGAGTAGCAGGAGAAGCGGAGCCATCTGAGGTTACTGAAAGAAACGAGTCAGGCATTGCCGATTTGAGATGGCTCGCAGATGCGATGTGTTTGCAAAGAGGGGAGGGGAGTAACAGAGGTTGCTACTGTGGGCGCAGGTTCTGTCGCAAAAGGTATTTGTGGTAAATATAGACGTATATAGTGAAGAAGTGGCCGCATGCATTGTGCTGTAGTAATTGTCTGTAAAAGATCCATAAGCAATATACGTTGAGAAGGAGTTTGCTGGTGCAAAATTGACGGTATGCTGAACGACTGATCAGAGCCTTGCGTAGTCGGGTTATCGATCATCAAAGCCATGTACAATGATGAATGAAATTGTGAAGTTTTGCCATGTGGGATAAGGGATTGAGGGGTATTGACATGATAGGTACTGTGCACAGATGGACTAGGCCCTCCTGGGAAAGTATGGCCGAGAAAATCCGGATAGAGAAATCCGCCGTTATAACCTGAAATCATGCTGTGACACAAACAGGGGCTGTTAATGCAGTTCTTCTGCTTGAACACTTGTTTATACGATTGACCATCGAAGTGGCTGTAATACAAGGGAATCAAAGAGAAGGTGTCTAATAATGTGCGAAAGGCCATCCACTGTAAACTTTTGCTTGTAGCTGAGTCCATGAGTACTTCTGTAATTCAGCTGTGGCGTGGAATGTAACTCCTTTACACGTTCCAGACTGCCTTCCCATTTAAGCGTGTGTTTCAGAACTTCTAAGGGTGACCTCAGTTCTCCTAACTCTTGGATCTCCCATTCTATTTATCGTTCTTTTCATTGAGCTGGAAATATTGGTGAGAGGTCACCAGCCAGTGCAGCTAATTAAGCGAGGTTACCCACCAGGCGATCTCACACGGTCTCCCCACAGGCGAGCATGGGAAGGTGCTAAGTGAGGTCAACCTACCTAAACTGACATTGCTCGCGGGGTGATGATATGGGACGTACCTGGAATGGAAAGACCAATATTTTCTTCGTGGACCCCGGACTGAAGATGAGCACTGGCGGTCACATCGAGCCACTCGGGAAGAATATCCCCCACATGTCGCCGCCCGTACCTTCATAGAAACTTTGTACTGCTACAGCATTGGGTGCCATCACATAGAATCAGAGGGCGTTGGAAAAACTCTCGCCTATTTGGAATGGAAGGGCGTCGAGTACATAGAGGAGATGAAAAATCCAAGTAGGTTACATGACCTAAACTCCCTCATATACCCGGTTTGGGCGGAGTTCAATAGTGTGGTCTACGGTGGCGGAGAAATCTCGCTGAACTCAGGTACCGACTCACGGTCGCGTGCCAGAGTCTCTCGATGGCGCTTGCCCAGAAGGCTGTAGCGGAGCGTCATGATAGTGTTTAATATCTCCTTGAGATGGTGGTGGAAATGTCCGGTCAGAATTCAATAAAGTGTAATCTAGCGCCTCGAAAGTCAAGGAAGAAAAGTGACTTTTTTATTGAACCCCCCCTGTACATTGGAAAGCTTTTTGAATGAACAAGTACGAGCTTATGGAACTGTCACTGCTGGAATGTTAAGTCTAAAGGGTTATCGGTGTGCTTCAGAGTTACACAAAATTTTCGTTGGAAAGGTTGTAAGCACTTTGAATACGAATTCGTGAGACCTGGTCCTTGGCATGTGCGAGCTGAGTGTGTCCGCGGCTGCAGCAGTATATAACTTTCTTCGCTCAAATGTGCATAGGAACGGACTTGGAGAATAGAAATACTCGGTTGCCTTCTCTAGACTCCGCCCGTACTGTCAGCCACACGCCTAACTATAGCCGAACGCGCTACTTGTTTGCGCCCTCTAAATTCTGTTTGTTTTTACCTATACTCACTGCGTCCTCGCTGCGGTATGTTATTTTCGATGTAAGCGCTGCATCCTGGGCCCGTGCAGGATCGGGATACTAGGTACCAGTTGACTCCGGCCTCGTTCCTGTGCACCTTTAAGCGGGGAAAGTGGCAGGGTATTGCGGCTCCGGACCCATTCTCCTCGCTATGGAATGAAATGTCTCGAAGGGGTTGTGCCGTCTGTCTATGATAGGTATTTGGGCAAAAATTAACGATGCTGACATTGTAGTTCTCATGATCGAGCTGATTTTGAATTTTTGTCTCTATTTTTTCATTTTACAGAATACAACATGGCCTTAGAATAACAACAACACGGTTATGCACTATAACAACTATGGCATTATGCACTATGAAACGTAAGTATCATAATTTTCTCGCGGTTTGAAGTTTTTTCTCTGCTCGGCGTGCTCCTCAGCTGAAGTGGCCTCAGCTGTTGTAGTCATGAATTACCTTTGTTGTTATTATGTTAGCTGCTTAGTGCATACTCCTATTTTTCACTCTGCGTAAACAGTTGCTGCCACACCTGAGAATAGAGGATGGTTTTATGGACAATATGGGCGAGCCGCTTTTCGAAGCCAGTCAGCAGTGGTTTTGACGACGTTCCTGTCTATGTCGGAGAGACTGTGTGTTTCTTTTCCTATTTATCAACATTGGGATGAAGTCTTCGCTGTCGATCGATCCCTTTTCGGGATGCGACACGCATTCTACTCCCATTCAGAATCGTAGTGGCTTATTGAATGCGATGTGTCCTATGCAATGACTTGCGGGGGCCAGTCGGTGAGTAATTCAGTGTTCTTATCCTCCCTAGACGGATCTTGTACCAATTTACCGTTCCCGTAGAGCTGGAGACTTGGTTGGCTTGGGCGGGAGCCGATTAGGGATTTGACCCCGGACCGCGCGCGTGGTAGGCGTGCCACTTGCCACTACACTACTTCATTTCTTGAAGGCGAGTTCTTTTTATTAAAAAAGATCCACAGCTCGTGGGAATAGGGAAGAGGCAACTGGGAAAGTCAGAGAGGAACAGAGTGACACGACGTGCTTAGCTGCACTTGGAATTCCCAAGCGGTATGGATTATGTCGTGTTCTACCCAATGCTGGTTGGCTTTGGCCGATTTTCTAGCAGCGCTCTTCCTCATAACAACATTGGCGGCCCCTTTATTACTGGAGGCACAGTTGTTTCGTTTGCGTTTCGTGAATAATGACACCCACGAAATGTAGAGCGGGCACGTGACAAGACAATCGTAACTCGCCGCATTAGTAGGCGTCGCGTGCGATGTCACGCCGCAGTGAGGATGTCTCTAGGTAGTACACACCGAAAATAGGGAGTGCACAACCAAAAATAGCAATAGATGTCTGCTATATCCCAGTCCAAACTGAATCCAGTGCTGCAATCGACAGGCTAGCGCGAGTGAGAAAACGCAGCGCGCGATTGGGCGGCAAATCACTATCGTCTTGACACTAGTCCTTGAACAGCTAGTGAACGGCTGGGCCGTAGTTGAACAATATGAACAGCTAGTGAACGGCTGGGCCGTAGTTGAACAATAAAATGAGCCTACCGCTTGAGATAGAGCTCTCTCATTCTTTCGGAATTCAGCCCTTATTGACATTCTTTTTCAGAACCGAACTTTCTGTGAGAATCACATGATCCAAAGACATTTCTGTGCAGAGGAAGTGGTACCATGTGAGTCACTGACAGAGGAACAGTTCGAAGAACTCCGGAAACAGGGTCAGCTTGCACCTCTTTTTGATTAATTTCAAAGTGATTTCCATTCAGTTTTTTGTTTTTCTTAGTTTCTCGTTTTAAAACGCTCCGTGTGGGCAACATAACCTCTTAGAAAATCATAATAAGTACTGCGATGATTTTCATGTGGGGTGTAGGTCGGGAGATGGCTGGATCTTGAACCATTCTGAGTTCAATTTTGGTCCCTTCATGTATGCCGAGTCATGTTACGTGGTCGTCAGCAAGTTCCGGGGTGAATTTTTCGATTGACTGAACTTACTGTGGGCTGAGTAGGCGTTCAAGTATTACTGTGACCCTGGGTGGTTGTCAGACGCATGGCGCTCCCAGAGCCCTTTGACTTATACAGTTTTATAACTTCTGTTGTAAATTTTCCGGTTTTTCTTTCAGTTTTCGAGCTAGCCACCCTACAGGTTCCTAATACTCTTACCCCAGCTCAGCAGTATGCTGCTCGGGATGCCATTCTCACTACGAATCCAACTCTAATAGACGTGCTCTTGAGTACTAATAATCATAACTATTGTCAGAGACTTCCCCGCCATCAAGTGGTCCTCAAAATGGCTCCATGTCTTTTGAACTGTTATACGTGTTCATAAAGAACAAACCACTTTCATCCCTCAGTACAGCGCGATAAAGAAGTTTGAGAGGTTTCCGGGTCGCTACAGAGGCAACATCATACTGTAGATGGACGAGGCCACGGCTCGCGAGCAGATTCTATCCCTGCAACACCCGCGCGGCACGTGTCGCGCGCGGCTCTTCTGGCTTGCCATCTTCGATGATCCGCGCTTTCCGTAGCGATTAAGCGCAAACCTCGCACCGTTGGACATAAATTGAAGACGCTTAGGCTGTCTAAGAGTTCCATAGTCTTTCCAAGCACGATTCTAATAGGAGGATGTGAGCAAAAGAGCAGCAAACATTTTTGAGTCTCCTACCCAGCAAGCGATGGGAAGGACATAATTTGAGGAGCGGTAGTTCGTCTTCCGTACTCATGGCAAGAGGAGGACAAGAAATGAAGAGCAGTTAGTGTGTTTTCAGACTCACCTAATGATCTTTTAGATGGGACCGCTATTCAGTTGTTACTATTCCCTCTTCCGACTTCGGGAGAGTTTTACCATCGAGCTCTTTGAGAAGAAGGCAGGAAATTTTGTTCCTAGACCTTCAACCTCCGCACACGAATATTGCATCGTTTGACTAGGAATTGCCTGTCTCACTAACGCCACGGTCTCACGGCTCAAGCTTTGTGCTCCAATCGCTGTGGAGAGCGCGTCCATTGCGTCCGACGTTCTCGTCTAAGACTGTTGGGGTGGAGTCTGTTTTTAAGATGTTTCCAAAGTTTTTTTTTCTGCTTTTTTTTCTACTGCGAAGCTACCTATGGGATACCAGTTCATGATGGAGCACCAACTATCTGCAACACTTGAACACGGGAATTGTCTTTAAGCAGCCAGACGGGTGCGTGACTCCTCTTGAAGGTATACATTCGATCCTGAATAGTGATGAAGAGTCGCTATCTTTCCCATGTGAGTCGGAAAATATCATTTGAAACATTTTGTGGGGATACGTTTCTGGTTGTTCCCAACGTCGTCACCATTCGCTCTTGGTTTCCTTCGCAACTTACTTGGCGGTGTAAGCAACCAGAAACTAATGATTCCTGATAAAAAATGTCAGAGACAAGAATTCAGCGCTTCACCACATTAATATTCATAAGCTCACCATCAAAAATTGGAACTTTGTCAATGAAACTATGAAATCAAATCTGAAATTCTCTTTTCCGAAGAGCACGTGACATGGTAAGGCTGTACAAAAATGACCACATGACAGACGACGTTACGGGAGACCGCTTATACAAACATTGAACTGTATCGTACTTGTATACTTTCTATGAATTGTTCGAAAATGTGTCTTTTTCGCGAATTAATTGATAAGTGTTTTTGACACGTTTCACTTCTGAAGTAATTCTAATCGTTTTGCTTACGATTCCTTTACGTTCCGGTGGCGCAATTGACTGGCCTTGCGTGGAAAAGTCTATATATGATACAAATGATTCTTCGGCATCATGCAGTGTAGAATTTAGTTTTGTGCTGAAGAAAGCAACGTTTCTGCGTGTTGGCACCGAGTGAGAGATTCAGCCACGCTCGAGAAGAACTGCCACGATGTGTTGTCCATGCACATGGACTAAGCACGTTAGGCGTTATGCATAAACATACAAGGGACTTCAAATCTCGTTTAAGGCTTCGTGTCACTACAAAAAAACAGTGTGTTCAGAACGTCTACCTGAATTACCAACGAAGAAGGAACATTTATTGCATAATTCACGGAAGTCATACAAATGCAATAGATGACTTATGTCCCTTCCGTGGACTTCTGTCTCCTAGTCAGTCACCAGGTTATTTTTTCTTTCCAACTATGTTCTTCGGATTCGAAAAACATTCAATTTTATTCCACGTCCATCCATAGGCTGAAAAAAAATGTTTGTAGCTCCGCTCAGATGATCTCACTTCCAGTGTTTTGTTTTCTGAGAGTAGAAGTATTGAGGTCACGTGATTAGTTGTTGTCCGTGATTTGCAACCACTGTTTGGAGTCCCTCGAAAACAAAATGTACAATCACCTACCGCGAATCCCTACAATGTCTGAGTAGAACGGCTCCGTAGCTGCAGCATCTGCCACTTTTTTCCTGTCAGATGTGCATGGGAACGCGGCTGTAGGGCAGTGATGTTCAGATACCGTCTCCATACTTTGCCCACGCTGTCGCATGGCCAGCCAGGCTCCTAGCCATAGCCGAACGCGCTAACCAGCCGCGCTCTCCCACTTCTGGTTGTTTCCTATAGCTGAGCACGTTAGGCGGCGTTCATACTTCGCGACAGCGGCTTCAATCGCCGCGATCGTCACTACGCAACAGAGCGCTCCCCAATGCTATTACGTCGACCGCTCTCTGATAAAAAAGAAATCCAATTTGTGAGACCTTTTTTCTCTTGATGGCTGATAACTGGAACGTTCTCTACTTTAGAGGATCTGGAGCATGAGGAAGTTGGTTTCACCTTCTCTTGAGGTCGGAATAAGTGGAACTCATTTGTTAGGTGAGTTTCTTTTTCTTTCCCTTGCTTAAATTGTTTCATAATATATGAGCGTCTTCAAATTTCCTTTTGGGTAAACTGTTCCAACTTTCACAACATTTATAGTTTACAAATCGAATCCAAACAACGAAAAAAAAGGAATAGAATAAGCCCACCTAGGAATTGAAACACTAGTGTACTATACAACATCGAGGAGGAGGAAACTTTATAAATTCATGTGTAAGCTCGGAGAATGAAAAAAATACATCAAAAAACTGAGAAAAGTACACAAAAAACTTACCCCGAATGAGTCCCCACGCTTGTTGCTCACTTCTATTCTGAATCAAAAAAAAGAGAACAGAAAAGAAAAACCACCAACTTTGTTCCACCTTTCCTTGAGTCAAAACAAGCTTTCATACTAGGGACAATCGCAATCAAAAGAAAAGAAAAACACAAAATTAAGCCGATTTTGTCTAGCAGCACTCGCAGCGGTCCAAGTAATAGCGTTTGGGCGCGCTCTGATGCGTACCGACGATCGCCGCTGCTGTCGCAATGTATGAACGCTGCCTTATCGCCGCTGAGTCTTGGTATCGACGCAATCGCTGCACATTGAGGATAGCACGGGCAAAACATAGAGACCGTACTTCTTCATCACTACCTTACCTTGCCGGGCACTTTGGGTGGAGGATGTGCACGTCACTGCAGCCACGGACTCAATCACCTCGCACATCGCAAGAGTCGCTCTTGAGATTAGTGTACAGCTTGTATTCAATCCGATCGCTCCACATTACTTACGCCGCGAAAAAAACTGCAGTACGTGCCAGGAACTGAGAAGAGCAAGATGATAACACTGGAGATAAGCCACAGACGCATTGCTGAAATAATTCAAGATATTTCTTCAATACAGTGGTTTTTGCTGTTACAATATACTAATGACTGTTGGGGAAACATGTTGATAACAAGACACTACTTCTATCATATCTGCTTTATCCGTGACGACGGAGATATGACGCTATCGGAAATTTGAGAGACCTTCCGCCTTTACCTTCATTTCCTGCCCCTTTTCAGAGCTTTCCAAAAAGTGTCTCCAGTCAGTATCGCCTTCAAAATTTTCACAACGAAGGCAAAGGCGACGGCAGTCAAGTAACATATCCGCGCATGGGAAACGAGCGCTACCTGTCGTGAGTATGCCTCCCTGACTTCGTCCTCCTCCTGATTTCCAATTGAATACCATTTTTTTCAGCTCTCCGGGCGTTTCTGTTACATAAGTAAGATTTTTCGAATCTCTTGTTGTAAGCGCCGCCAGGGTTTTCATTTTTTCATTAGTGTTTCGTATATTCTATCCGGTACCATCGCACTTTTGACTCGACATCTTACACCTGCTCTCTACGTAACACCGAACTTTCGTACAGACAGACAGTCGAAGCCATTCAGTTACCATAAAAGCACGGCCCACGGTACCTGTGGCTCTGAGCTCTCTAAAGGTGAAAGTAGCGGAAGGTGAAGCAAGGGGCTCTGTACACTTTCGGGTCTGAAATTTGTAAGGTAGCGGCGGTAAGGCACAAGGCTGATATGTCATCTTCACTTTGAATCGGACACTTTTGAAACCAAATGGAACACTCTTGAAACCAAACCGGTCACTTTTCAAACCAAATCGATCACTTTTCAAACCAAATCGGACACTTTTCAATCAAGTCGGACACTGTTCAAATCGAAATGAACACTTTTCAAATTAAATCGGGCATACCCCTTACAATAGACAGTTGGTAATCAGACCACCCTAGGTAGTGCAGAAAACCCCACCTCAGCATCCCCGCCCACTTCTCGGCGCGGTCACGGTTGTCCTAAATGTTTTATGAACTTTGCTTTTTTTTTGATTTTTTTCAGCTCTGCTATTTGGCACACGGCAGCTGAAAAGGACTAGTACCGAGAAGATCTGACTCCGCTTACCTTCCAATGAAGTTACCACAAGATTGGATTCTTTAAGCTTTTTTCGGCGTCGTTCTTTTCACATTCAGTTTCCACAAAACGAATATACTAATAGCCATCAGGCATTTATACACTAGTACAGTATGCCCCGCCTCTCTAGCCACGCTACTTTTGTGTTTAACGCGGAATTCTGATTTTTCTTCCGGATTTTCGATTTCTTGGGCAATGGAAAATGGCTCCGCCCACTAATAGAAGCGCCGCCTACTTTCGAAAAATGATGCAGATCGGGCGGGGGGGGGGCTAAAGCTGTACTGGCAGGTCCTTCCTCTCCATCATCCGGAACAAAAAAAGCGGTGCTTTAGTCCGAGTGATGGGAGAGGCGAGAACCTGTCAGTACGGACTCCAACCCGCCGATCTGCATCATTTTTCAAAAGTGTGCGGAGCTTCCATTAGAGAGCGGAGCCACTTGATACGGCCTAAAAGGCGAAAATTAAATCAAAATTCCGCGAAGAACACAAAAGTGGGCG